CTTGCTGCGACGTGAGATAAAGTGTTGGAGTCTTGACACCCACCTCGGTGTACCCGAAATGGTGAAGCATTACAAGGAGGCTCGCAATAAATATGTCACTGCTATCCGCCGGTCTCGAATACGGTTTGAAACGCGTCTCGCTTAGGCTGCATTGCAACATCCAAAGAGGTTTTTTTCCTGCGTGAACCACAGAAATAAGGTGTGTATACCCGCGCTAATCAATGGGACAGAAAATGACTGTTTGGTTGGGGACGATGGGGAAGAAGCAGAAGCCATGGCTGGATAGTTTGCTGAGGTCTTCCCACAGGAATCCTCTGCGGACAGTTATCCAACAGTAGGAGCATTGATATCCAACAGAATAAACTGTGTGAATGTTGATCGTGATGATGTGTTTTGGACATTAGGTATTCTCGATGTAGAAAAACCAACGGGACCGGATGGGCTGCACCCGAGGCTGCTCTGGGAGCTTGCACTCTGTGTAGTCGGCCCACTGACTACTATATTCAGAATGTCTCTCAGTGAAGGCACACTCCCCTATGACTGGAAGTGTACCGTAGTAACACCTATCGACAAGGCAGGTTCTGGGCAGCTCCCATCAAATTACGGGCCGATAAGTTTGGCTAGTACTGTAGTGAAAATCCTGGAAAGAGTAATCAAGAAAGCCATCGTATTCTACCTGGAGGACAACACCCCATTGTCCTGTTCACATCACGATTTTCGTAGAAATTTCCCATGCTTGACGAACCTTCTTACAGCCAGAGAAAGTTGGGTTAAGTCTAAAGATGATAAGATACCGGTAGATGTCATTTTCATTGACTTTAGTAAGGCGTTCAACAAAGTACCTCATTCCAAGTCGCTCGGAAAACTGGGAAGTCTTGGAACCACCGGCAGTGTGCTTGCATGGACAACAGACTTTCTTGTTGGTAGGAGACGAAGAGTTAGGATCAATTCTCAACGCTCCACTTGGAAGCTGGTAGAGAGCGGAGTGCCGCAAAGCACAGTCCTGGGCCCCCCACTGTTTCTTCTATACGTAAGTGGGCTGCCAAATATCACGAAATTCCATATGGTTCTGTACGCTGACGATGTAAAAATCTGGCAAGATACCAGGAACGATGAGGATATGCGTGCGCCCCAGGCAGACCTGAACAGCTCGTTTACCTGGTCGTAGAAGTGGCTCATGGCCATAAATGCAGGTGAATGTGTGAGCGTGCACTTGGGGCACACACACAGCAACGCCTACGATATTGATGGGACTCGTTTACCTTCACTGCTGACCCACAATGACCTGGGAGTCACGGTTAGTTATGACTTGAAAACCACGGCTCACTGTCGATTGGCAACAGCTTGGAGTTTTAGGACTCCCTGGGCGTTACGTAGAACGTTTACGAAAATAAGAGGTGACATGTTCACCATCTTATACACACCCTAAGTTAGGTCTAAATCAGAGAACTGTACACAGGTGGCCAATCCCTGTCTGAAAGGTGACGCGGGCCTTCTGGAAAGAGTTCAGAGGGCAGCCACTCATGATCCCTGCGATGACCGGCCTCACCTATGAAGAGCGACTTAAGGAGCTGAACCTCTTCACCTTGTCCCACCGCGGACCGAGGGGAGACACAATCATGCTATAAAGGATTCTTAGAAATGGCTTCGGACCTGATCTATCTTCTCTTTTGCTTCCCACCAGGTCGGAACGCCCTAGAGGACATAGTAGGAGGCTACAAAAGCAAAGAATGAACATGGTCTCCGCAGGGCACTGGTTCTCGCGTCGAGTAATCAACTCTTGAAACCGGCTTCCAGATGAAGTGGTGTCCGTATCGTCAACTGACTAGTTCAAAAGGGGATTGAACAAGCAAAGAAATCTACTGGAAAAGGATCAGGGATCCCAGCCTACTATCCTCAAACGACAAATCTGAATCCGAAAACGTAAATTATATCGTACTTTATCTCCAAGTAAGATCAAGGCATCCATATTGAAGCCTACATACCAATGCATACTGGTAATTTCGATCCAGCTAACCAATCAATGGGCTACTCAGTTCAATCATTCAGATTACTGGCTAAATGATAAAACGTCTATTAGCTTCAATTATTTACACATTCATTATTAATTTTTAGTGGAGAAATGACTGATATTTAACACATCCACCACATATCGTCATCATTCAGGCAGTTACATTGAATCGAGTTTGTTTCTTATGTGTACCATTCTGTAATAAAGGTACGTATTTCTACCTCGCAGTGGAATGCTAATAATGGTGGGCTGGTCCATTTTTTCTGCCTTCACTAAAAATCCTGTTCAGTCTCTCTTGACCAGTAATCATTCAGTCAGACTTTGAGGTAAACCAGTCCCCTCAGCTATTCAGTTAGTCAGTTAATTAATAATTGAGCCTCAGCAACTGATACATCCTGTCTCACAGTAATGAAAAAATAATTTCTGTGATTTCAATCGGCAGTCAGTGGGCATATTGACACTGACTCAGTCTCTAAACCTCTGAGAAATAAGCATAACCTTTAAGGTCGTAATTCGTGTTAACAAGATAGTTAGTCGAAATGCCTGGGCACACAATACCTTCAATATGGCAGAAACAACCAGTCACGTCACTGGGATGAACCATTAAAACAATAGAAGCAATTTTTTATTGGCTGAGTTCCTTCTGAATTTTTGTTCAAAATACCTGTTGAAGCCACACAACTCAGTCGGCTTTGTCAAGTCAGCGACGTTGTAGACCATTTCGTTGAGTCTTAGTGTGCTTAGTTCAGCGGCGACGAAGTTCCCCAAGTGATCTGCCCTGGCTAGTGTTTCGATATCGATTTCACCAACGGGTTTGTTATGCGCGAATGTGCACAGTGGCAAGTCGTTACTAATCTGAGCTCCATTTCCATCCAGTCGGGATGATACTTCGGACTCCCTAATCATGTTTTCATTCATTGCGTTGCTCTTTTTGTAGTCCCTCGGTTCACGTATTTCTGCCCGTTCTTCCTCCTCGGAGGAGTTCAGACTTTCGACTGCTGGAGGAGGTGACAATGTCATACTCGGCGTCTGAAGTCTGATCAGTCTTGTAAACAGAATGGCACTTTCATCAAGCTTTATATCTGCCACAACATTCAGTGTTGCGGTCTTATCAAACTTTGGACTTGCAGAGTTGTTCCTTTTACCACTAACGCCGGCTGAGATGGCTAACCTGGTGGCCTTTCTCTTGGGTATAACTGGAGTAGAAGCTGATTTCCCTACACCGTTGCAATGGGAACCTACTTCCGTTGTTAACAACATTCGGGTATTGTTGCTACACTGCTCTACGAATAATTGTTTCCGTGCTATTTTACGTTCATTGCCCATATCTATTTGCATGCCTGATGCGTGGCTAGTTATTTGGAGACTTAAATAGCTTTATGACGAAGTTATTAACAACGTTATGATACGGTTATGAAATCACGTTAAAAAGTTGCGCACTCTCGAATGCACCCTGGCACCTTCTTTTTCTAATATATATAGGGGACTTGCCTCAACAGGTCTCTTCCGAAATTCTCCTTTCTACCGATGATGGGAAAATAAGGGGAAAAACCAAGAATGAGGAAGACGGTGCTTTCCACAGGGAGATTTGACTGAGCTTCAAGACTCGGCAGTCACTAATGGCCTGGCACGTAACCATGAAGCATGTAAGGCACTACATGTAAAACGTGATGTATGTCATGCATGTAACCCCAACGGTATGGAGCCTGAAGCGTCCCTGGTGGAGAAGGTTTTGGATGGTTAAGTCCATCAAGACTTAAAATCCTGCGCTAACTGCGACAGAAACTCATTTCGCGGAAACTAGGCGTTAGTAACCCCGAAACGAATTTTCGGGCAATTCAGTCATAAGTGTTTCCACCGAGTTTCGACAGCTTCATAAGGCCTCACCTGAAGTCCTGAACCGTCATCATCCCCCACTCTCTGCAGGACAAATTAAGCATAGAACATATCCAGAGACGCCCAACTAAATTTGTCCAGGCGGTTCGGTCTAAAACATACGAAGAATGACTGATTGCGGCGGATATATATATCTCCTGGGATACAGAAAGCTAAAAGAGGACCTGATAACGGCTCACAACACCCTAAGCACTTAAGGACAGCACCTGTGTTTCTCAATGAATCTTAGTGGTAGCACTAGTCTTAGAAGACACGCATAAGAACCAGGCCTGGAACATAGCAGGTTAGATATCAGGCTCATCTTCTACCCCAAGAGTTGTTAAGCCCTGGAAAGCTCTTCCCACAAATTTTTCCCAGGCTACTTCGAGTGGATCCTTTAAAAACCGGCTGGACACTTATTTGACATATGGCTGGGATCTGATCAGAACTAATTGAATTTTTACATTTTAACGGCCATTTGTATTCTCTCTTCACTTGTAAACAGATTAAAAACCACAAAAGGTAGTGGTTCACGGATTTTAAACGCGGAAGCCAGTTAAGCGAAAGCTACTTTTGTCCCGTCAACAACCATTGGAATTTGAATCGCGGAAAGTAGGAAATTAGGTCGTATGTAGAGTCACGTTTTTCTCGTCCACTTTTCTCTTCCAGATTCCCACCACTTAATTCCCACCCCTCCCCTGCAACAAAGTATCATCTACATACAGGCTAGACGAGATCCTATCAACAGCTGGTCGTTATTTCTGTGGCGAGCTCTCCAGGATGATCTCGCTTGTAACTCGCACCAGCTTAACACATCATCACTATCTTTTTAGTTACCTAGGTAAACTCAAGCACTACGGCAGTGCTTTTTCGCTCGGGGGGGGGGGCAGTGTAACGGCCTTTTAGATTTAAGTTATCGTCTATTGTTAAATTTAACTAGACCGTAAGTACTTGCTGTGTCGTCGGCTCACATTTTCCTCGTCTACTTTTCCTTTCCAGCTTCTCACCACTAAACTCTCACGCCCCGCCCGGAACAACGTGTCGCTCACATACAGACTAAACGAAACCCTACCAATAGCTGGTGGTTACAAGCGTCATATGTCTACTGGCTGCCATGGATTTGACGATATTGTCGGGTCCAGGTGAACTTCTACCGTGTGATCCAGAATGTATGCTAGTATATGTAAGTTGGAATGAAAGTATGATAACAAAATAAGTGTTATATTAGGTTGAAAGGAGCTCCCATCAACTTGAAAATGGAGTCACCTTACAGGAAGAATCCTATTGATTACCCTATTCTGAGTCACGACAGCAAGAATTACAGTGGCATTCCAGTTATCCTAACATATTTACGGAGGGAGGTATGTGTATAGTTTTTTTGATCATATTATATTCTGGGTATAAATAGTTAGATACATTTACCCATTTTATGCATGACCGATGTCCCGATTTGTGACTAGTTTGAGTACATTCCTGTAGCTGCAATCGAAACTCCTAGCTAGCACTGCTGCAATGCATGCACTGACCAGTGTGAGGGGCGAATCGATAAGAAAACGTGGGGTAAAACTTCGGGAAATGTTGCGAAATTCCACGTTTTGCCCTGAGTTTTCATCTCCATCTTTCACATATCACTTCGTTTTGCTTCTTGAAAATGTTGACTAGGGGGATTCTCAGTTTCTTCAGAAATTTCTGTATTGTCTAGCCGTAACCGCATAATTGAAATTCCCCCGTAGTCGTAGGAGCATGCAGTGCTTTCAGGTACTTGTATGTAGCCAAAGTCCAACGACAGCAAGCCTTATTGTATTGCTCACTAAAAATAGATGTATTACTGGACATAACCTTACATACATGCACCTGACTTCACACAGCTTTATCTACTCCCTGAAGAACATCTAGTTAACTTGGAATACGCAATATTGTTCTGCTAGGTGAAAACGCTAACAAAATGCGGTTTTCTGGATTCGTTGACGAGGAATCTGAGCATGTATTTCGCATCTACCAAGTGTAAGATGACGTTCCAGGACTGGTCTGCGGCTAATCTCAGTTTAAGGATTGGAAAGTAATATGGTTGAATGCATCAACGACTTCACTTATTTGGGAGTGGCATCAACCCGAACGGTCTGGTTGCTGACTAAATCTTAGCTCAGGTACAAAAGGTCCGTCTAGCACTTGCTAACTCGCGTCATGTGTGGCGCCCACTAGTGAGACATCTGGCTACCTGTTGGAGATCGAGTATGCTGCGGTGCAGTCTCTTCTGTCCTGTTATACGGCTGTGAGATGTGACTGTTGAAAGCAGAATATATGAAGTGACTACAGGTTTTGACCACAAGCGTCTTCGTAGCATTGTTTGTGTATAGTGGAATGACCGTGTAATGCCGAGGTTAGGGAGTGGGTATTAAACAAGTATGGAGACTAGGTTGACGAGGTTGTGAACCTATAGCGACGGAGGTGGCCTGCTCGTACTGAGCCACCGCTTACCTTGATATGCAATGCTAAGAGAGATTGTAAGTAAGCTCAGAGTGGCTAGATGAAGACGCACTAGTCTAAGAAACCTGACTTGGTTTGAGCTGTATGCGGAGCTATAAACCGCCTGATTTGAGACATCAAGTTCGCGGGGATAAGCGGTTAGAGACACTTCCTGACGTGAATGATAATAAGTCAAAATAGCGGGAATGTATATAGTTTGCTTTGTTTCTCATATTTTTCTTTCCCCTCATACATCTTTGGTCACTTTGATATCATTTTTTTTCATGCTGCTATGAAATATGATAGTTTGATTCGATGCACTTCTATACGTGCTTCTGTGTTGATTTTGTTTTTCTTTGACTGGAAAGAACCGGTGTTTTATGTGATAGCAATAATCCAGAGCCAATGTGATTAACTTCAGGCTAGATTAAGGCCATTCTTAAAGTCAGTGCAGTGCCAACATATGATTTTGTAAAATTTGACCCGAGATTAATCCATCAGTTCTATGTTCTCCTCAAGATGAACCAATTTTAGCCCAACTACAGCCTTTTGTTAACAAATATCCACCCTAGCCTTTTAGGATTATGCAGCTAACTTTTCAAACTTAGCAGTTTTGTAATTCCACTATCCAAAGGAAAAGGCTACCCTACTTCACCAAGAACCTAGGCTAATAATCAATGCTTTCTAATTTTTTGAAGAGTGGTGGCGAAAATGAGATGTTGTTGCCTATGTGGTGAGTGATTAGTATATACATCGAAATCATTGTCAATAACTAACGTGCCAGGTATGCAATGTGTTACTTTAAACCTACTAAACATAACCTAAGCATGTAGCCACTTGAAAGGGTGTCAGATCATATCTAATATCCACGGTTCGCATACGTCTTATAAGGTTGAATTTATACGTCTTCACCGAACTATAAAATTGGAAGCTTATTTTAGTGATTGGAAAAATTACATGCTAACTTAAAAATATGCTTCGATATCATTCACTCATATTTTCGTAATCACTTGTTGATAACTAATTGATCATAGACACTATTAATGGATAAAAAAATTTCAAATAGTTCATTTCAATAATGGGCTAGAGGGTGAACCTTCTCACTTTGTTACGTTTTCTAAGTGGTTTAGAGGGGGTGGGGGTGGGGGTGGGGTAATTAGTAAGGATTTTGAGGTAGTATTCATCACGAACTGATATCAGTTAGAGTCGCTGAAAATCCGGCAGAACTGCATAGCTGTTTCATCTCAGTCTGCAACTCTACAGGAGTACCTAATCCTAACCATTGCACCCAGATTCCCAATATTTATCTAACTGATATCAGTTCGTGATGAATACTACCTCAGAATTAAAATCCCCATTCATCTCAGTAAGAATTCGTTAGAACACTGTAAAGGATGGATAACCTACATTATCGTGTAAATAGAATCAATGAACTACGATATGTTTCATCAATCGAAATAAATAATGTACTGTGACATTTAAATATGAAGATTGAAGTTCCATATAACAGATTAACCTTAATTGCCATAGTACACGAAGATGCAGTATTGCTTTACTAGGTGCCAGATCAAGGGAACTATTCTAGTTTAGAATTATGCTATACTATAGTATCCAGGTACTTGCATTCAAGGAAAGTCGAAAAATCAATTATTATTATTATTATCATCACTATAACACAAATGTGGTACACCGAAGGTACCAAGAAATATGTCACACAAAATAATATAACATTATGAAGACATAAAGTGAAAGGAAGTGGATAAGTTATAAAGAGAAACACAGTAAGAATAGAGTAGTTAGGTCAATCCAGTAAGATGCATTCAAAACAAAACATTCATTACTTTTTAGCTGCAGAAGATAGGAGGAAGCTACAGCATGACCAACACTATGTTCCATTCTCAGCTATATCTGATAACTTCTCAAGCCACCGGGTTGCGTGCTCTCTCTGACCCCACCCAGAGGTTCGTGATGCACCAACAGATGATGACCCAGCACAACTATACTTCATCATACGGCGCCACGTCATACGCTGACCAGCCCTCTGCCAGTTCCATCCAGTCCCAGTGTTAGCAAACAATGAGCGACGTGGAAGCTGTTGGGATGACTTGCGTAATACATGTCCAAGCCACCGAAGACGGTGTTTCCAGATGGCTTCACTGATAGAATAAAGATCTCAGTCATGCCCAAACACATGCTGTCCTACCTCAGAATCACTTGTATGCTGTTCCCACCAGATACAAGCAATCATATGGAGACAGCGAGGATCGAACACACAGTCGTCGCGCATCTTCAACTCAGAGAGGCCAGATTTCACAGACATAGAGGAAACCCGACCTGACAGTAAATTAGACTAATGTCATGACAGCACTATGGGTGGCACAGATACGCAGACTCTACTCTTGTTTTTGATACGCATTTAGAAATTTTATCACACACAACTACCTAGATACACGGACTCTTCGACTACTTCCGACTGATTGCAGGCGCAGGCTCTTTCCAATCTTGCAAGATTATTTTGCACTTCAATGGTGCAAAGTACATACCACACGAATCGCTAACTGATTAAGTGCGATTTGAGGGGCTTGTGTGTTATCGCAGAGTAAGACGATGTCGTTCGCGTATTTAAGGTCGAATGGCCATTCTCCAGATAGTAGGTCTACACTAACATGCAACTCTTTCAGAGCTGTCTCAAGAATACCACCGATGGCAAAGTTAGAGTGGAATGGAGGAATCGGATAACCCTGTCTATCTCCACTGCTGGTTTGGGACAATGGAGACAAGTGGTTGTATGCCCTCACTCTACCTGAGGTAATTTTATAGGGCTTTCAAGATGTTAATAAATTTCTCAGGCACGCCCATCTCCTGCAGACAGTTGCAGAGTTCACCTCTGTCGAACGAATCGAAGGCAGTCCCTTATGTCAAGAAACACTACGGTTGTTAGCCCGCAATACGTGTGGTGATGTTCAAGCATCTGATAGAGGGTAAACACATGATCAGTGCATCCACAACCCGAACGAAACCTTGCCTACTATCCAAAAATCATTTCCTCACACGTTTCGCAGTCTGTGAAATACGATAGCAGCTAATATTTTCAATGCGACTGGTAACAAACTAGTACCTAGATGATCCTCACATACATGACGTAAAACCATTTTAAAGATGGGCATAACGATGGCTTCATTCCAGAGTAGTGGAACACTCTCAGTCTGCCATACCTTCTCAAACAATCTAGTCAGTTCTCTAACTATAGTCGTTTATCCATCCTTAAAAAGAACCGGCAGTGGGTTGTCTGGGTGGGTGCCTTGTGATGTCACAGAACTTAGAGTTCCTTATGGACCTCAGCGTCGTTAGGTGGGTCACTGTTAACTGACCATGAAGCACAACACATTGAAACTGAAGATGCTGGAGCCGTGGGCAAGTTTAACTGCTTTTCGAAGTGCTCCGCCTAGCATTCCAGGTGTCTTTGAAGATTGTTTATCGGCGTACCATCAACTTCAAAAGCTGTCTCACTGACACCTGGTTTCTTACTGCCAGTGGCTCGGATGAACTGTGACAGCTTCAGACTATTGCCAGATGCAGCTGCTGCTTCCATCTCACTCGCTCATTCCCACTACAAAGCGTCGTAGTTCATCGGTAAGTGTTGTTTAATCTATTGCATAAGAAACGCGAACCATTGTACTCGGTATGCACTGGAATTGTCCGACGGGCTTCAAGAAGTTGTAGGGAACTCGCATAGATCCAGTGTTGATTGGCTGACGTTCTTCTAAGCCACAAGCAGCTTTATTCACCATTTACATGGCGTCTTGCAAGTGTAGCTAACGCTCATCTACACTTTCTGGAGGATCGGTAGTCAGCCTTAAATCTAACTGGGAATGGCATTAAGCTGCAATGTTAG